GTCGTCCAGCAGCGCCAGGCCGTCTCCAAGTGGTTTCAAAACTGGCGCACACAAGGTGGACATGGCACGGCGGGCGTGCATGGCCGACGCCGCGCGCGGGGCAACCAAGGGCGCCCGAACAAGGCTCCATGGCTGGAAGCCGCTCTGTACGAGTGGTGGTCCCACATGAGGTACTCCGTGGACTGGAAGGCGGTGGCCAAGCGAACCGCAGTTGCGGAGGAGAGGCCCAAGATGTTGGCCAGGTTCTCCCAATCCCTGCTGGTTACGAAGGCGAAGCAACTCGTCGCGGACTACTGCGTGGAGACAATGAAGCGGGGAGGCAAACCGATGGTGCCGCAGTTGCGGCCTCGGTGGTGGGTGAAGTGGCGGCGCTCCTACGGCCTGAGCATGAAGAAGCCGAACCGCAAGTACAAGGTGCCAAAATGGTTGCTCCAATCTCGTTTTGAGACTATGATCTTGAACGTGGCCAGGGTCCGCGCAGCTGCAGAGGAGCTTCTGGGGTACGACCCGCACATCCTGAACTGGGACCAGTCGCCCTTTCACCACAACGAGTCGTCGTCGGCCTCGAAGCCGACCTTGGCTGTGAAGGGTGGCATTGTCCCGCTTGTCGAGGCGCATGACGACAGCAGGGCTCGGTGGACAGCGAACCTGACGGTGTCGAGCGACGCGGAGGACATCCGCAGTTGCGGACCACCGCCGGCGGAGCTAATGTTCAAGGGGGGATCTGTCATCGCTGAGGGCTTGGCCGCACATGCCCGCAGTCGCGGCTATCCGTCTTGGGTGAGCACGGCGACGTCCGAGAAGGGGTCCTACCGCGCAGACGACGTTGTATCATTCTTGCAGCGGCACTTGCGGGCCTGGCCCGACGACCCGCAGTTGCGGGGAAAGTGGCGCATCCTCATGGCCGACGACCATTCCCCGCACAAAGCAGACGCTGTGCGGAGACTCGCCTGGCAGCGCGGCTACGTGCTGATCATTCACGGCGGGGGGACGACCGCAGTTGCGCAGCCCGTGGACACGGACTTGAACCAGCACGTGAAGCGCCGGTACATTGCCCTCGAGACCAAAGCGCTGGTGCAGCAAATGGCGTTGGGGAAGCACGTGCCGCAGTTGCGGCGTTCCGATTGCGCCGACTTGATGCTGTCAGTGTTGGAGAATGTGCAGTTGCACTTGGACGCCGCGAAAGGTTTCCTGAAAGTGGGAATTCGAGCGCCCTTCGACAAGTCAGGAGATCTCGAGATTTGCCGAGAGGCGGCGGAACTCTGGGAAGCAGGGGGGCTGCGAGCAAAAGTGGACACCGCAGTCGCGGAGGTGAGGGAAGAATGCGAGCAGAAACGTTTGAAATGGTCCTACAATGACGTGCTGCGTCTCATACACGAATACGAGAAACACGACGCCACAGATTCCGTGTTGGAGAAGCTCGGCGACGAAGCGCTAGGCCAGGAGCCAGGCCACGAGGAGGGCGATGAGGAGGGCGGGGAGGAGGAGGAGGAGGAGGTGCACGAGGAGCACGAGGAGGACGAAGAGCAAGAGGAGGCCTCGTGGGCCGAGGCTCTTGCGGAACAGTGCGATGCCGCAGTTGCGGCACCTGGGCCTCAAGGATCCTCGGTATCCATGGACTGCGTGGTCGACGCAGAGGCGGCCGAGCAGGTGGCAGTGGCGACGTCCTTGGCAGAAACGCTCCGCGAGGCGGAAGATATGCTGCGCCAAGTGGGCATGGAGAAACTAGCGCAGGATTGCCGACAGCAACGACACAAACAAAAGAAGCGGTTGAGAGAGCTGGCGCGGGAGGACAACGAGGTCCTACGAGCGTTGACTGCCCAGCGAGACCACGAAGCCGCAGTGGTGGCGAAAAAGCGGCGCCTGGCTCTGGAAGCGAACGACAGGACGAAGGCGTTGCACGATCTCAAGAAGCAGATTCGAGAGGCCGAGGCCGCCTTGAGGGCAAAGAAGGAGGCCGCAGTTGCGGTGGAAACGGCTTTGGCTAACAAACACGCCCTAGCGCAGTGGAATCCCGAGGAGTTCAAGATCAAGAAAAACAGGATGGCAGCTCTGGATCGCCTGGCTCGCGGAAAAGGCGTCCTCTCAGACGAGCAGAGGGGGGAGTGGGCATGGTTCAAGACGCATTGGGACGAGGAGATGTGCAAGCAGCACAAGGAGCAATGGCCGCTCACGTTTGCTGGGTGGCTGCAAAAAGTCGCGAACGACGCGGCGTCTGGGAACCGTTCGGCGCTGTCGCAGTTCGTGCATTCGGAAACAGTGAGAACCCTGGGAGGGCAAATGGCGCTGGTAATCCCAGCCCTAGCGTGATGCAGGCCGCAGTTGCGGACCCACAGGAAGTCCAGAGGGAAGTTGTTTTTCCAAGCGGCTCCCGCGCGGGCAGGAGATGAGGCAAAACCGCAGTTGCGGTCTTCCTGCTGCTGTGAAAATAATCCTTTCACAGTCCCTTGCAATCGTCGCCCTCCTTCTGCTTCTCCGCCAGTCCATTTGTTGTTCTTTCGGTTCCTTTGAGTCCTCGCCCTCCTTCTGCCACTCCTCGAATCCTCTTTGTCTCCTCCCTCCATCCGACCCCATGCCCATTCACGATCCATTTCCGTAGCCACCGTGGCTCGAGGTGGCGCACGCGAAGACGCAAGCATGTGGCCGCCCGCGCGCCCGAGCGCATCCTCAGGGAGTATGGACCGTGGACCTCGATTCGCCAGAACGGTGTTCATCCACAACGCTGAGGAGGAGGAGGGAGGCAAAGACGAGGAAGCCGCAGTTGCGGATGATGACGACGACCAGCGGACGCAAGATGGCGACAGCACCGTCGCGTCCTCGGCTGCCTCCGCTGACGAGGCTGAGTCCCGGGGAGGTGCGGGAGCCGCAGTTGCGGCAGCACATGACTCCTACATGCCGAGAGTGTTGTCGTCGCGGAGACCCTGGAAACGGGTGCCCATCATCGAGACAAGCAATCTGTCGGAAAAACAAAGAGCTCTTGTCGACGCATGGGAGGAGAAAACGGAGTTCGAAGCGGGACGGGTCGGCTTCTACGTGGCCAACTTCGGAGGGACTGCAGCTAGACCCACGCAACGCGCGGACGAGTGGGCGCAGCTCCGCGCGAACCCTGCCCAGATCATCGCCCTCTGCGAGTGCGACGACGAGACCTGCGCGGTACTCAGTGGGGAGCACGACGCGAGGGACAGTGCAGCCGCAGTTGCGGACGATAGGTTTCGGAGTCGGACTCAATACAACTACCTGTGCGTTAAGGGCGGCGAGCCATCAGGGACCCTCCTTGTTGGCATGAGGGACCGCAGTGGCGGCCACATTGAACACGTAGACTTTGCGAGACTCTTCCACAAGCAGGAGAAGTCCAAAACGAAGAAGAAGAAGAAACAGTCCGCAGTTGCGGAGGCTCCTGCGCCAAAGCTGCACAACAAGTACTCCAGGGCGATGGTGGTGCGCGTCCACCTGGACCAGGCCGTGACCCATTTGGGGGGCTCCTTCAACGTCATGGCGGTGCACGTCCACCACAGCTTGGCCAACCAAGACTGGGGCGTCACGAAGCTCCATGAGTTCTACAACTGGTTCGTCGCCTACGTCAGGGAATGGGACGTGAAGGTCTGCATGGGGGACTTCAACATGTGCATGTTCCAGCTTGTGTCCTGGTGCCGCAATTGCGGCCTGACTGTGGACGTCGCCGCGTGGACCCCCTGGAAGACAGCAGGCGGCCAGCCCAGGGCAGACAGCATGGCGATTTTGTTCATAAACTGTCCTGGGCAGTACAAGCTTCACCATGGCCTGAGTGTTCTGCACGACCGTGAGGGCGGATTCTTGACGACCCAGCATGATCCGTCTTTCCCTGTCTTCGACTACACGAATGGCCCTGGGAAGATGCTTCAGACTTACGTGCCCAAGGCTGAGCCCGTTGAAAACAAGATGCGCGCCTTCCTGACGCCATCTGGCGAATCCTTGACCGCAGTTGCGGAGTTCGAGCAAAGGATGGCGCGCAGGGAACGCGACGATTGGGTGCGCCATCCCTTCAGAGTGAAGCAGGGCAACCTCGACGACAAGATATGGCATGGCGCCTTCGGCAGGGCGAGGCACGGAGCGCACTTCCCTCTGGTGGCTTTCACGCACAATACGTGCCGCAGGTCACCTGAAAGACTCGCCGCGAGGTTGGAACGCAGGAAGGGCGGCAGGAAGGGCGGCAAGAAGGGCGGCAAGAAGGGCAGCTACGCGGACACCGCAGTTGCGGGGAAGGGCGTCCGACCCCAGATGGGAACCGCAGTTGCGGGGAGAGACGCTGGGGCTGAGCGAGCTGGGAACACGCCACCGCCGCAAGCTGCCAACGGCGACGATGCGACCCCTTCTTGTGCCGCAGTGGCGGCTGGGTCCTGGGACGCCAGCGGCAGCGGCGCATGGGAGGCGCGCAGTCCCGCCACGAGATGGCAGGGCTGGTCCTGGTGGGACTGGAGCTCGAGCGAATGGGGCGCTGATGGCGCGCAGTGGTGGCCCTCTGATCATGCCGCAGTTGCGGACAATGCCCCTGAGGGCTCGCCTCCTCAGCGTGAAGTCGAGTGGGGCTCGAGCGGGCGACCTGCCGAGCGCTCTCCGTGGAGCTTCGAGGGGCAGCGTTGGTGATGGCCGCAGTTGCGGGCAAGTGGAACATGATGTTGATTGCCGCAGTTGCGGACAGTGTACGCTGGAAAAATCATCATCATCATCAATCATAATCATCATCATATCATCATATCATACGTTCAAAGCAGTGCCGGGGCACTGCTTTGAACGCGTTCAAAGCAGTGCCGGGGCACTGCTTTCGATCGTCGCCTCGTCGCAGTTATAAGGGCTATTGGATTAGGGAGGAGATGGAGGAGAGGAAGGGTGCGGAGATGAGGAAACTGAGGAGGACGTGGACAGGGAGGAGGAGGAGGGCGACGAGGAAACAGAGAAGAAGGATGAGGAATGGAGGAGGCGGAGATGCAGAAAAATGAGAAGACGAGGAGGTCGGCGAGGAGGATCAGGCCCACGGCGCCGCCATGAAGGTCCACAGAGCGGACTACAACTATCAGCCCAAGGACTTCCAGCTGGCCGGCTCGAAGTCTGGATATCTCAATTTCATCAAAAAGTATCCCTGCACCCGCTCTCCTGGCCCCGACGGCTTCCCGAACAAGTTCGACTGGATCATCCATAGGCCGAAGGACCTCGACGACCTCGACGGGGACAAGGATCCGTACGCCGTGTTCTCCTCCATGGAGATCCACACGGTGCCGGCCATCCTCGATTTCATCGAGCAGAATTGGCCGGATAGCAAGAAGAAGCGCGTGGCTTACTTCACCGGCGACATGATGCTCAGCCGGGTAGACAAGAACTTCGGCGCAGGCACCGAAGAGAGGTTGAGGAAAGCCTTCTCTGGAGGCATCTGGTGGCAGGCCTACGACGTCCGGAAGCCCGGCTTCAAGGTCGCCCCTGACGGCTTGAACGGTATGTACTTGATGCCTGTCTGGGACGTCGCGCAGGAGGCCATCAACGCCGCCTCCTTGGAGGACAAGACGAAGGGGGTACTGGCCGCATGGGGCAAGTTCCACCCTAACCTGGACGCTAACATCCCAGCGCGCAGGAAGCTGCACGAGTGGGTCGGCACTAAGGGCTCCATCGCCGCTGGGGTCGAGCACGCCTCCTTCGAACCGAGGGAGTACTGGTCAGAGTTGGCGAAGTACCGGTTCACACTGTCCCCGCGCGGGGGTGGCATCCAGTCGCCGAAGAACGACGAGGCGCTGCTCGTCCTCACCATCCCCATCTCCACGCGCGAGGGCTCGATCAGAGGCTTCAAGTCGGAGCCGGCGTTCGACGACCTGAAGAAGCTGGGCTGGCCCATGGTGGTGCTCGACGAGTGGTCCGAGATCACGCGGCCCAAGCTCGACCGGTGGTGGGAGGAGCTCTCCCCGCGGCTGGTGAGCTTCCGCAGGAACTGCCTCACGACGGAGGGCTTCTGGAGGATCATCACCGGGGAGGTGGCCTACTGCGAGTGAGCGGCCGCCGCGGAACCCGGACGGGAGCCCGCTGGCGCCGCGGAGCAGCTGGAGGCCGAGCTGGAGGAGCAGAGGACGAAGGCCACAGCCTGGGAGGCCGCCGTGCCTCCTCCTCCTCCTCCTCCTCCTCCTCCTCCTCCTCCTCCTTTTGCGTTGCCGAGCGCGCGGCTGCCCCTTCTGCAGAGGGTTGAGCCGCCCGCCAGCCGAGCAGGTCCCTGCCGAGGGCGGGGGAGGGAGCCGCGCTGCTCGCCGGGGCGGAAGAGGAAGTCGCCTGGTGCGGCGCGCGGAGGCGCGGGCGGGGTAGACGGCGCGTGCAGAGGCGTCGGCAGCAGATCTCTCCGGAGGACCTCCTCCCTGCTCCAGTCTCCTCCTCCCCCTGGTCCACCTTTCGCCCCCTCCCCTCCCTCTCCCGCGCTTCGGCTCACGATCTCTTCCCTTCACGCTTCCTCTCCTCTCTCTCCCATCCCCCTTGCCCCCCTTTTTCCCCTTCCACCCCCTTTGTCCACGATTTCTCCATGCGGTTACTGCTCTCCTCTCTCGCAGTGATGTCCAATGTGGGGGCCGCCTGTCTCGCATTGTTCCCGCACATGTTTTGTAATAAAAATCGGACCTTTGATATGGAATGGCGTTCTCTCCCCTCATCGTCTTCCAGAATGACTCTCGCGCCGTTCGTTCCCGTCGTTCAGAATCGCGCTCTCGTCCCAGCGCGGGCAACGTGTCTGGGTCTGATGTCTTCCTCCATGCCGTCACCCTCCTTTACTCTTCTTCGCATTCCCTGGTCCTTGGGCTCCTCCTACTCTTGCGCTCCCTGCTGGTTCTCATCCATCTTGGGAAGGCCTCACGGCTGGTGCCGCCGACCCTGCATGGTGGGCGAGGAGGAGGAGGAGGAGCAGAAGAAGGAGGAGGAGGGAGGAGGAGGAGGAGGGAGAAGGAGGAGTTGGAGGAAGAGGAGTTGGAGGAATAACGCATGTAGCTAGATAGTGAACTTCATGTATAGCGAGTGCTCGAGACAGATGCTGGAGCCCTCTTCGACGGTCTGGGGGGCCCTCTTATAGGCTGCCTCGGCGCTCTTTGGGCCGCCCTGGGGCCCTCCTGGACGTGTGGCTCGCGTCGGGGGGCCGTCCTCGCACCCTCTTGGGTAGCGGACGGGCCTCCTGGGGCCGCCTTGTGTCCCACGAGAGGCCCCTTCGCCGCCACGGCGCCGGCCTGTCATGCGTAACACCAAGGCGACACCATGGCGACACCGTGTCCGAGTGTTCGTCTCGTGCCGCACCAGGGCGCCACGGCGCCCGCCTGCAGCGCCCCCGCCGGCGTACACTTCGCGGGCCCGAGCCCGAGTCCGAGAGGCGCCTGCGGGCCGCCTTTGGGGCAGTCTTGGACGCCGCGCTCGGCCTCTCGGGCCCGCTTTGGGGCCCTCTTTGGGCCACCTCCCCCGACTGCCATCAAGTTGGGCATGTCCCTCCACAGGAGGAATGCTCAAAAATAGCAAAAACCATAGTCTGGGGATGGCTTTTCGACCATTGTTGGCAATGCTTGAAAAAGCAAAGAACGAAACATGTGTCTTCCAAAAGTCGCCTGTAGGAGGACATGCCCGACCTGAGACTACCCTGGGTATCGCCCCCAGGACCGTTCCCAACGATCCCCTCCCGAGACCGCCCCTTCCTGGCGGGGACGGAAACGGGAGGGGGCACGCCCCCATTGGATCCGCACAATACAGCAATTGACGATCTCAAACCTGTGATGTATGTGATAGCTTGTTCTGCAGGCGCTCTGAGGTGAGCTTTCGCCGGCCTCGCCGGCTCATGAGTCAGCGAGCGAAGAACGGTATAACATAATTTTTTTCGCTGTCGGGGGCGCCTGTCCCTGGGCGGCTGGAAAGTTTATACCCCTACGGTGCCACCGTAAGGGTATAAACTTTCCAGCCGCCCAGGGACAGGCGCCCCCGACAGCGAAAAAGTTTATTTTATACCGTTCTTCGCCCGTTAAATGAGAGCGCCGTTTCAGGAGAGCCGCTTCGGGGAGAGCGCTTGGAGCCGGAGACGCCTTAAGGCAGAGCCAGCCGGCACGACTGGCCGACACCGTGCCACGTGACTTGGTGCCACCTGTGGCCACGGCGGCTCGGCACAGCCTGTCAGCGACAGGTGCAAGTCGCAGTGATCCCCCCCCTGGGCTGGGACGGATCCATCAGAGGTTGTCAGAGCCCCGAATCATCAGGGGTAACTCGGGTCAGGGCTGGCTAACTCGGGTTCGCTTTTCGGGATTCCGAACCCGAGTTACCCCGGACCCGAGTTACCCCGGATAACTCGGGCGTCCAGAGCCCCACCTCATCAGGGGTAACTCGGGTCAGGGCTAACTCGGGTTCCTTTTTCGGGAATCCAAACCCGAGTTACCCCAGACCCGAGTTACCCCGGATAACTCGGGCGCCCAAATCCATCGGAGGTTGGGATCGACCTCCTACCCTGACACGTCGATTAGCGAGTTGGCCCTTTTTCGGGTTCGCGAGAGGGCGTCGCGGCCGTCGTTTTTGCGGGTCCAGGCCCGTCGGTTTCGGTCCGAGGCCGTTTTCACAGAAGGGAGGTTTATTAAAGGGAGGTTTGTCCACCGCCGAATCCAAGGCAAGGGACCAGGGCTGGACCTAAACGGTGTTTTGCTGGATTTCGGCCGTGTCTTGTTCTTCGTTTTGGCAGGGATGTACAGGAAAACAGGTGGAGCAAAACGGAACACACATCGAAAACAAAATGAAAAACAGCGTCCGGGTCCAGGTCCAGCCCTGGAAGGGACCTCCCTGGGCACGATTGAGTACAACTTGCGCTTGTGCCCCGTGTGTCTGTACAGCGTGAGAGGAGTGATCCCGAGCGAAAGGACGACGGGGAGGAGGAGAGGGGGGCCACGGCCCCCGGGACCCCCCCCCCCACCCCCGGGGGGGGGGGGGGGGGGGGGGGGCGACATTCCCGAGACCCCCCCCCCCGAGGCGGGAAGGGATCCAGGTCCAAGGAAAGGGATCTCATTCGGCGAGATGGAGTCTGAAGTGTTTTGTTTTCTCGTCACTCTGGACTGCTCGAGGATGGAACCTGAACGGAAGGAGGACGGAGAGGAGGTGTCACGACCTGCCCCCCCCCTCCCGAGTGGGGGGCGGGGGGGGGCGACGCCCCCGGGGATCCCCCCGCGGGGGTGGGAAGGGAGCCAACGGAAGTACTTCCCTTGACATGATTGAGTATGACTTGCTTTGTTGTCCGTCTTTCTGGGTTTTCTGAGGAGGGAACTTGAACGAACGGAAGACAGCGTCCGCAGCGACAACGACGACGACGACGACGACCACGACGACAACAACGACGACGACGAAAAAGCGCCCCACACACGCCGACAGGATCGGCGGATTCCTCATCATCATCCTGGTCATTGTCCTGCTCTTCGCTCCTCGTCGCCATCCTCAGAAAATTCTGCGCAGTGCGAAGGGATGGACGCGAAGACTAGGCTGTCAGATCTGGTGCGGGCGCACCCGGCGGTCGACCTTGGTGGCCAGACGACCGCTGTGAGTATGTGGCTCGGACACCTCGCTGCTGGTCTGGGACTCAAGGGAGGAGGGGGAGGAAGAGGAGGAGGAGGACGAGGAGGACGACGAGGAGTTCGACGAGGAGGAGGACGAGGAGGAGGAGGAGGAGGAGGAGGACGACGAGGAGGAGGAGCACGAGGAGGAGGAGGAGGAGGAGGAGGAGGAGGAGGAGGAGGAGGACGACGAGGAAGAGGAGGAGCACGAGGAGGAGGAGGAGGAGAACGAGGAGGAGCAGGAGGAGGAGGAGGAGGAGGAGGACGAGGAGGAGGGGGGGGGGGGCGGCAGCCACGCCAGGGCACGAGCTGGGAAGTCGCGACAGCCAGGGCTCGGGGGCGGGGTCCCCAGAGCACACGACCACCCACGGCACCTGCGGGTGCGCCCGCGGCTTGGGCTTCTCCCCTCAAGTCGGGCGTGTCCCTCTACAGGAGGAGTGTTCCAAAATAGTAAAAGATAGTCAGGAGACGATTTTTCGATTATTTGTTGACCAAGTTGGGGCATGTTTGGAATACGTTTCATTTTTCGCCAAGATCCGCGTGTAGGGGGACATGCCCGACCTAAGTTTTCCCCCTCCGGACGCAGGCTCAAGATCTTCGTGAAGGTCGTGCTTTTCAGCCCTCCCTCTCCCCGCTCCCGATCCACCCCATTCGACTCCCTCTCTTCCATTTCCCATTTCTCATCGCTCTCTTCCCCTTGCCCAGGCTCAAGCTTGTGCTGCGGCCCTCTGTACGCAAGCGCTGGGTCGCTGGCGCGATGGACGCGGCGAGATTGCAGCGCCGTGTTCGGCGGAGGCAGCTCGAAGCTTGCAGTGGCGCGGGGAGGCCCCTTGCCCAGCCGACCAGGTTGGCGGTGCTGGCCGCGCTCGTGGCTGCTCTGGTGTGCCCAGGCAAGCTGCCCCGTGCGGCGGTGTCGCCTGCGGTCGCTGCGGTGCGGAAGGGCGCGGGCCCGGACGACCGCGTGCTCGTGATGAACAAGATGTGCCCGTTTGCGCAGCGGGCCTGGTTCGCTCTGGAGGAGTCCGGCCTGGGCTTCAAGCTGGAAGAGACCTCTCTGGGCTCCAGCCTCGTCTACAGCCTCAACTCCAGGGGTCTCGTCCCCATCCTTGTGGACACCGATGGCACGGTGACCGTTGAGTCCGAGGACATCGTGGACGTGATCGCCAGGAGCTCAGCGAGGATAACCGAGGGTTCCAGCGCCGACGCAGAGATCCGCCAGCTGGTGAATGGCAGGCTGCTCCCAGCTGGCAAGAAGGCCAAACTGTTCGGCGGAGCAGGCGACGTCGAACCGATACTGAGAGAACTTGAGGGGAAGATCGTTGGTCCTTACATGACTGGCGATGGGATTAGCGTCGCTGACCTATCGGCCGCGCCGATGTTGCAGCGCATGTTTGAGGATAAGATGGTGCCCTCCGGGCTGTCGAGGCTGCACGCGTGGTGGGAAGCTGTGCGCGCGCGGCCTGGCTTTCGGAAGACCGTCGTGCGGTCCTATTGGTGGTGGTGGTAGCCAGGGCCGCCACCAGCAATCCCCCGGCCCAAGTGTGCTCGAGCCGCCACGGGAGCGCGGGCCTGGTATCAAGTCGGGCGTGTCCCTCTAAAGGAGGAAAATTCGAGAGCAATCAACAAATAGTCAGGGGACGATTCTTCCAGCATCGTTGTCAGTTCCTGAGCACCGTTGGACCATGTTTGATCGCTCTTCCAAAGTCCCCCTGTAGGAGGGCATGCCCGACCTACGCCTGGTATCATTCCCACGCGGTCTGCCCCTCCGCTTGCCCTCACTCTTCCTCTCGGGCCGAACGAACGGGGGGGGTTGGGAAAGGGGGGGGGTACGACATCTGCTGCATGCAGCTGGTTTCGGCCCCGCCGCCGGGCCCATTCCTCGATACATGGCCGCCTCCTGGCCTGGGGAGGCGCCGGGAAAATCAGCTACGTGAGCTGATTTTCAAACACCCCCTTTGCTATCCCCCCCTCTCGCCCGGCCCGACGGGTGTCATTCCCACGCGGTCTGCCCCTCCGCTTGCTCTCGCTCGTCCTCCTCCGCCTGCAGCCGTGCGCGGCGTCGCGCCGCTCTCCCGGGCGCGCGGGCGCGCGCACGTCGGCGGCGCTACGCCGCGCCACCGTCTGGACGGCCGCTGTCCGCTGAAAGAGTTCCCCCCCCCCCAGCTAGACCCGACATTGCGCGCGTAAGGTTACGTCGGGCCTGTCCCTCTACAGGAGGGATATCCCAAAATAGTCAAAACAGATAGTATGGGGACGATGTTTTTAAACTATGTTTGACAATTTGGGGAGTATTTTTGAGTATGCTTTATGTTTCGTCCGAAATCCCCCTGCAGGGGGACAGGCCCGACCTAAGCGTAAGGATACACACTGTTCATTTCTGGATTTTCTGCCGGGGGGCCAAGCTCCTTCCGTTTCTGGTTCTTCTGTCCTGGGCCCCTTCCTGGCCACCAGGGGGGTCAGGAACAATCAGAAGCGCGCACACTCAGAAAGTAGCACGACTTAGAAACATCAACGACGTGTACGGCGCGGCACGGCGCAGCGGCACGGTGCTGCGCGGCGCTGCAGACGGTCGGACCCTCTCTTGGCGTCCCAGTTCGGTCTCGGCACGGGCTGCTCGAGAGGTCGTTCCGTACACCAGCGGTGGTTTGCGCAGTGGGCTGCGCCGAGGGTGTCGCCATGCAGCTTGCACAAGAAGCGCCGCGCCACCAAATCACGATTGTCCTGTTGTCCCCTTGCGCCACAGGCTGCGCCCCGGGATGCGCCCCGCACCCTTCGCTACCGAATCACAGTTTGACTTGTCTGTCCCCCACTGAGAATTTCAAGAATCACGTCACGCTGCAGTCACTTGATGAAGCTCCCAGACATCTAGACGTCATAGTGTGCAGATTTTGCGGTCTGCCACCAGCTTGGGAGATTTGTGATGACACAAGTGTAGACTGTTAAGCTGTCCGAATAACATGGTACGGGCATGCAGTATGGAGGAGTGCTACAGCGTACGCCCGGGAGGAGCGATCACTTGTTCAGCTGAACGTCACGACGAAATCGTTCATAAAAAGGACGGTATGCGCTGCAACAGTGGAGTAGCCAGGCATCAAACATGATTCCCGCCAAGAAACCAGCGCCGAGTTCCGCCTTGTCTCGCAGCAGCGTGCAGAGGCTGCGCGAATGCGCGTGTCTTTGAAGGCAGGCGTCTCGGCGCCGACCGAGATTTCTGCTACGCGCGCGACTGGTTCTCTATTTGCCCCCTGCGGGCGTGTTTCGCTCGTTTTGAGCTTCACCCCGACGCTCAGATCTGGCATTTGCTCCCACGTCCTCGGTGTTGCCCAGACAGCCCTGCCCCGTTCGGCCGTTCACGTAATGGTTTCGCTTGTTTCAGTAGGGGAAGGAACACACAAACGCAATCAATCGTCGACTCCCAGGAAAATACAGGAAGATGTCGAAAGTGGGGGGGAAAACGAAAGCCCAGAAAACATGAAATTATGGGGGATCCTGGGAATTGTATGCATTCATATATTTGTTTTGTGTGTGTGTCCCTGGGCCCCTTCTCTGCTGGGGTGCCCATCATGAGGATGGCTTTTCTGCCATCCGCTTCCTCCCGCTGCGGCGCCCTGCTCCTCATCCGCCGACCCCGGACCCTCGGCGGGCAGAAGCAGACACAAAAACGGGGGCGTGAGAGGCCAGCGCCACTGCGGGCCACCCCTTCTGGCGGATGCTGCGGGTCAGAAGAAGAAAAAAGGTACCCATACCGCTGCCCTTCGCCCGGTTTGCACCCTGTTTGGGCCTCCTGGGAGGCCTCCGTCGCCACCGCTGGATTCGGCCCGAGATTCTGGTCAGAACGCACACTGGGAGAGGTCAGGGGAATAGCTCTAGGCCTCCTAGATGGGGTCAAAGTAGATGGGGTCGGAAGATCGCGCCGCATCGCCGATGCATCGACGATGCGGCTCGATGTGGAGCCCGTGTTCGCCACGCCGACGTCGCCGGTACATCTCCGACGCATCGCCGACGCATCGCCGACGCATCGCCGATACATCGCCGATGCATCGCCGATGCATCGGCGATGCATTGGCGATGCGGCGCGATCCTTCGACCCCATCTACTCGGACCCCATCCAGGAGGCCTCTAGTAGCGGTATCGGTACCTTTTGGCCACCACATGGCAGCAGGAGGAGGAGGAGGGGGAGAATCGGAGTACGATGGGGTCGGGCGAAAGGCGGGGTCGACTACACGTAAGAGTGAGTTATTTTATGATGTTCCAGCCTATTTTCGCCTTGATCATCAGAAAGAATCTCGAGCACCAAGAAAGTACCGAAATTTGATGGTTTCCACGTGTCGGGCCCTGGGAGGCGACACTCGTTCGACACCGTTTCAACACCTCTTCTGGGTGCTCGAAATTATTTCTGGGATGTGGTCCTTAAGTACGATGGGAGCAACATAAGACATGTCGCCGGAGTGACCTCTGGTGCGAGCCCACGGGGGTCCCCCGATCGCCGAGTGCGATGCGTTAGTTGCGTCTTGCGTGCCTGGGTTTTCCTCTCCCCCCCGGCGGCTCCCCAAAAGCCGCGCACCAAAGGTCACTCTTGCCTACAGTGGAGGCCAGTCCACAAGAAACCTTCCACAAGAAACCCAACCCTGAGACCCCAGGACGTCCATTCATTTTTGGTGTGGGAGCGTCACGCTTTCCACAGCAAGACCATCGAGGCCCAAGAAGCCCAGGGCACCCTGGTGGCAAGCAGGGTGTCTCTTGGCATAGGTCTCCACCGTGGTTTTTGTTGCGTGTAGCCGCGAGGGGGGCGGGTGCTGCTGGCTTCGGCCCCGCCTCCGGGCGCGTTCCTCGATATACGTTGCCGCCCCCCGGCGCCGGGTATCGGCGGCGGGTGAGGGGGGGGGAAATTCGGTAGCGAATCATGGGAGACTTGTGTACCCTCGTCATTCCGTCTTCAGCGTCGACTGGCGTCGGATAGCCTCCTGGGAGTCGATGAGACAGCGCCGATTTGGCGTCGTCGTGCGTCGGTTGGCGTCGACTAGCGTCGACTAGCGTCGATCAGCGTCGACTCGCAAGAGCCGACAAGATGGTATGGGAGGCTCCCATGAGTTGCCACCGAAGGGGAAATGAGAAGGAGAAGGCCCTCTCAGAAGCGGCGCGGCTTCTCAGAAGCTCTCGCGCCTTCTGAGAGGTTTGTTGTGTCTTCGGGGACGGCTTAGAACACTTGTCATAAGGCCGGGGGACTTCCGAACCTTCTGAGAAGGCCTTCTCCCTGAGCCTCCACCGTCCGCACCGTCCACTTAGAAGGTGTGGAAGAAGCCATTGTGTGGGGGCGTACTACGCACATGTATGCTAGTTGTATTGGATGCCAGCGAGTTCGCGTAGTTGCATGTACACGTGCATATATAATCATTAAAGCACATTCATCGAACAATAGCATACATCACAATACACACATGTGCACACATGCGTGCACATATACATATGATTGGGGCATCTTGGAGGCCTCTTGGGCCGTCTGGAGGTCAGCGTAGGCGTTTTCGATCGATCTTTCGGCGGCTCGTGGCCCTCTTGGACCGTCCAGAGGGCCTCTTGGTACCCTCTTGGACTGTTTTGGAGCTCTCTGCCCCCCCGTGACGCGTTCAACCGGTCCCTGGGGAACCCCGCCCACTCGAAATCGACTGGACCGGGCTCCCGGGGGAGGGGTTTGGGGAGGGGGAAGCATCTCACACGCCGATGAACCTCAAGGGGTCGGCGGATTTTCCACGATGTTGCAATGCTTCTCACGTTCGCCACGTCGTCCTCGTCATCGGCTCCTCGTTGCCCTCGCCTTCCTTTTCTTCTTCGCCCACTACGCCCATTAGACTAAAGCGGGTTCCTGTCCGATCAGGTTTTCCACGATGCTGCAATGTTTCGCTACGTCGGACCTCAGGGCCACAGACACCAGATTGTCTAGACATGATCTCTCGGAGGTCCGCGCGGAGTTGTGGGAGCGGCGTTGGGCCCGCCCCTGGCCGCACATTCAAGTCGGGCCTGCTCGTCTACAGGAGGAATATCCAACAATAGTCAGATAATAGTATGGGGACGATGTGTCTCATGTTTCTGTCTATGTTTTTAGATATGCTCCATTCTTCCAAAGATCCCCCTGTAGGAGAACAGGCCCGGCCTGACCCTACATCGGGCGCCGCCCCAGCGCGCCAGGACGAGGTGCCCGGCGCGGATCCCACGAAATCCGGCGCGGATCCGATGAGACCCGCGCGGGTTTGCGAGAGAGCATGGCTGTGCCGCGTCCCTCGAGCTCACAGGAGGGCGAGCTGCGACGACCAGAGTGTCGCTGGCCTTTCGGGGGGGGGGGGGGGGCGGGGCCCACGTCGCCACGGCTGGGCGCAGCCAGGGGAGCTGGCAGGCTGCTCCGCGTGGATCCGATCCTGTAGGGGTTTGAAGACCGACTCTGAGCCGGCTGCCGTTGTCTCAGCTCGCCCGGCTGCGTCTCAACCCAGTCGGCGTCCCATCCCTGCTCCTCATCTCTCCCTCCTCCTCCTCCTCCTCCTCCTCGTCCTCCTCCTCCTCCTCCTCCTCCTCCTGCTCCTCCTCCTCCTCTTTCTCCTCCTGCTCCTCCTCCTCCTCTTCCTCCTCCTGCTCCTCCTCCTCCTCCTCCTCCTCCTTCTCCTCCTCCTCCTCCCTTTCCTCCTCCTCCTCCTCCCCTCCGCCGTGGCCGCTGTGGCTCCAGTCGCCTTCAGCCAGCCCGGTCGCCCGACACGCCGCCGGGCCGTCCAGCGCCATGGTGGTGGACCCGTTCGGCTACACGGCGGAGAAGGTTGCGGCTGTGGCCGCAGGCAAGAAGAGGGCGGAGACGTACGACATCTGTAGCGACTTCCCGACTCTGGGCAACGAGCACACGTACATTTACATGTAAGAAGAGGGCGGAAACGTACGACATCCACAACGACTTCCCGATTCTGGGCAACAAGCACACGTATACAACGATTTCCCGATTCTGGGCAACAAGCACACTATACACTATACCCCGACCAGCATTCTGGTCACAGGCGCGCGAGGTTGATTGCATCGCACGTGGCTATCCGATTGACGAAGTTGTACCCTCACTGCCGCGTCGTCGCTGCCGACAAAGTTGGGTACGCCTCCGACGAGAAGAACGTGACAGAGCCGCTAGCAAAGTGCTCGAACTTTCGCTTCGTCAAGGCCAACATTTGCGACTACCCGTTGATGCTGAAGATCATGCAGGAAGAGAATATCGACATTGTTATGCACCTGGCGGCGCAGTCTCACGTGGACCTGTCGTTCAAGGAGGGAGGCCCACAGCAGTTCGTGCAGGACAACGTAATGGGCACGGCGTCCCTCCTGGAGGCTGCGCGCAAGGTCGGGGTGAAGCGCCTCGTCCACTGCAGCACCGACGAGGTGTATGGCGAGGGTAGCTTCGAGGAGAGGGTGGAATTCGACGAGGATAGCCCCGTGAACCCGAACAACCCATACGCTGCGTCCAAGGCCAGCGCAGACTTGTTGGTGCAGTCATTTTACAGGTTTTCAATATGCCCATCGTCATCACTCGGGGCAACAACGTCTGCGGGCCGCACCAGTTCTACGAAAAGGTGGTGCCGAAGTTTATTGCGCAGCTGAAGTCCGGAGGCCAGAGCACGGTCCACGGCAGCGGCGGTAACACGCGGAATTTCTTGCACGTGCAGGACACGGCCAGTGGATTCGATTGCATCTTGCATTCCGGCGTGGTGGTCGAAGCCTACAACATCGGAGGCAAGAACGAGAAGACTGTCGTGGAGGTTGCGGCCGACGTTCTCTTGATCCTCGGACTGGAGAAGAAGCGGAGCGAGCTGGTAAAGTACGTTGCGTACCGCGCCCGCAACGACGCCTGCTATCCGATCAACGGGAAGCTGTGCTCGCTGGGCTGGCACGAGGAGCACAGCTGGGAGTTTGGACTGGCAAACACTGTCGCCTGGTTCCTGCAGAAGCTGCAGTCTAAGACGCGTGACATCACCAAGGTCATCAGCGCGCACCCGTACCACAGCGCCACCGACGCCTCACAGCCGGTGTCGAAACTGTGAGCTGGCTTCCGTGCCCTTCTCCAGATCCCCCTCGGATGGCCTCCCTTCTCCTGGCCTACCCTTCTTTTCTCACACGTCATCGCCCATCTGGCGCGCCCCGGCGCGGTCGCCTCCTCCCCTTCGCCAAACCTTCCGCGAGGCCCCCGGCGCCGCAACGGCGGGCCGCCGGCGCGCGCGCGGCCGGCGCAATCGGTCGGCGCGACCGCCAGCAGACGGCCTGTCGTGCAGCAGAGGGATTGTGACGACGCTGGAGGTCGGGGGAGTGGTGGTCGGGGGAGGAGGCTGGTGTGGCCAGCTGCTGTTTCTGTTGTCGGGCTGGCTGACAGGTGCCGCAGCCAATTCGCAACATGCACGCTGCTGGCCCAGGCGTCTGCTGGACTTGCGGGTGGCTCCTGTTGTAATGTTCCAACGTTCACTGCAGCTCCACCTCCTCCTCCTCCTCCTCCTCCTCCTCCTCCTCCTCCTCCTCCTCTTCCCCCCCCCCTCCTCCTCCTCCTCCTCCTCCTCCTTCTCCTCCTCCTCCTCCGCCTCCTCCTCCATCCTCGGCCTCAGCGCCGCGAGCGCGATGGCGCACCACGCTGCGATGCGCGAGACGCGGAGCGAGCTGGCCTGAGAAGGCAGCACCATGTGCTTGCTGCGGTCTCACGGCACCAACTGCGTTGTCGCCGATGTTCGATCTCTGTTCGCGCGGTTGCGAGCACGTGATCGATTTCCGACTGCCGGCGCAGTGGCCTGGAACATTCGGTCCTCGCATCCCGCCCCGTGTCTGCCTGCGGCCCAGCTACCGTTGTCGCCGCAGTGGTTACCGCTGCCGCTGTCTTCACCGACATGCCCAGTGTCGTGCCGATCTCCATGCTTCGCTGCCACTTTCGCCACAATTGCCATCGCTGTCGCCGCGGACGGATTCATGTTGGTTATTTGTATTGGCGCGCGTCACCACGCACACATGCCACCGCGCTGGGGAAAGTAAGCGTGCTGAGCAAGATTTGCGACAAGCGACACTATGGTGCTAAAGCGTAGTCGGGAACGTTGTAGGCATGCTCACTCGAATTTGTCAGAAATTGTGAGTGCAGAAGTTCCTTTGAAGCAGCCCCACTTGGAAATCGTAGGCGGTGACGTACGTGACGAGTTCGTGTCGGGCATTGACGTGCGCGAGGCGCTGACGAAGTTATGCGCGAGTTTCCCGTGCCACAGGGGTGGAGCGGTTTACGGCAGTTTGGGGGTCGTTCTGGGAGGCGCTAGAGCGACCTTGAGGTCCTCTTGGGCAGACTTCAAGCCTTCTTTTGGAGCCTTTTGGGCCGTCTTGGAGCTATCTTGGAGGTCTCTTGGGCCGTCTTGGGCGGTCGGAAACCCAACCAGGCAAGATCTTGTGCCGTCTCGGTGCCACCTTGGTGGTCTTGGAGGCCGTTTTGGAGGCCATCCTGGTCGTCGCCTACAGGCCGAAAAGAGCGCCGGAGAACAAATTCAGGGCGGGACTTCTGACGATGCGCGCGTCCCAGAGGGGGGCTCGGCCATAGAAAGCATTCAAAGATAACAACCTCCCAGGCAACAGACTAGCATTCTGTCTGACACGCCCACTCCGTGCAGGCACGGTGGCGGACACGTGGTGCAAGCTCTGTGGTGCAAGCTACGTGGCTGAATCTACGCGGGCGGAGGCAACTGCCCCTAGGCCCTAGCCGGCTCAACCTGCCAACCCAACCAACCCAACCAACCCAACCAGCCCATTGGCCCTATCAGCCACCCCGCCACCCAGCCACTCCGCCCACCCGCCCACTTCCGCCGCCTGCGCTCTCGTCGCCGCCGAGAGGGGAAGAACGCGTGCCCTGCCAGCGCAAGCAACCAAACAGCAACACTCCTGGGGCCAGGGGTGATATTCGCACCGTGACGTGGAAGGCTTCGCGCCGCCAGGGATCCGGCACGATTTTGGGCCCCAGGTGTGAGATTGTCCTCCTCTTCTTCCTCCTCCTCCCCCTCCCCATCCCCCTCCTGCTCCTGCTCCTCCTTCTCCTCCCTCCTTCTCCTCCTCCTCCTCCTCCTCCTCCTCCTCCTCCTCCTCCTCCTCCTCCTGCCTCTCCCCTTCCTCCTCCTCTCCCTCGTTCTCCTCCTCTTCCTCCTCCTCCTCCTGCTCCCCCATTCTCCTCCTCACCCTCCTCCTCCTCCTCCTCCTCTCCCCTCCCCATCCTTCTCCTCCCCTCCTCGTCCTCCTCCCCCTCCTCGTCCTCCTCCTCCCCCCCCTCCCTCCTCTTCCACCTCCTCCTCCTCCTCCTCCTCCTCCTCCTCCTCCTCCTCCTCCCCTCCTCCTCCTCCTCCTCTTCCTCTTTGTCTACGTTAAGCAAACCTCAGGTGAACACCTGTGGCGTTCTAACCTTCTCCTCCTCCTCCTCCTCCTCCTCCTCCTCCTCCTCCTCCTCCTCCCCCCTCCTCCTTATCCTCCTCCTTATCCTCCTCCTTCTCCTCCTCCTCCTCCTCCTCCTCTTCCTCCTCCTCCCCATCCTCCTCCTCCTCCTCCTCCTCCTCCTCATCCTCCTTCTCCTCCTCCTCCTCCTCCTCCTCCTCCTCCTCCCCCCTCCTCCTCCTCCTTCTCCTCCTCCTCCTCCTCCTCCTCCTTCTCCTCCTCCTCCTCCTCCTCTTCCCTCTTCTCCTCTTTCTCCTCCGTCAACCATCCTCGAAATTGTCGTCACTTGTGAGGCCCCGGGCGGCGCTTCTTGTAGAGGGCCCGCCAGGGAGGTCCAGGGAGGCCAGATCGCACGCACTGCAGCGTGGGGGCCGCTCCCTGGAGCGGACTCTTCTCGGGCGACCCTCGACGGCCTGGCAGGCTCCAGGGGGCCCCAGGAAACGCCAGGAAACTAAGGAGAGGGCAAGGAGGCCACAGGGACCCAGGAGGCGCCAGGTGGCCCAAGGAGGCTCCGGGAACAACCAAAACGCCCCAGAAGGTCCCGGGAGGCCCCCACATGCGCCAGGATGCCCCAGGAAGCACTAGGAGACCACAAACTCCAAGAGAACTCCAGGAAGTCGCAGGAGACCGCAGGATGCAGTACGAGGCTCCAGGAGGCTCCAAAAAGCTCGAGGAGCCGCTACGAGGTCCCAGGAGGTCCTTGGAAGTCCCAGAAGGCCCCAGGGGGCCCCATGTCCATCGCGCGGGAGGAAGGGAGGAAGGGGAAGGATGCGGAGTTGGATGAGGAGGAAGAGGATGAGGAGGAGAAGCAGGAGAGGGAAGAAGTAGAGGATAATGCGGAAGGGGAAGAGTCACGAGGACGAGGAGGACGAGAAAAGGGAACCAGCATGCAGCGGATGAGGAGGAGGAGGTGGAGGAGGAGGAGGATGGATAGACGGAGGGAGGAAGGGACGGAGAGAGGGGGAGGGAACGGATGATCGGGAGGGGGAGGAGAGGAGGAGGAGGAGGAGGAGGAGGAGGAGGAGGAGGAGGAGGAGGAGGAGGAGGAGGGGGAGGAGGAGGAGCAGGAGGAGGAGCAGGAGCAGGAGCAGGAGCAGGAGCGGGACGAAGGGGGAAGAGAAGGAGGATGCGGAGGAGGAGGAGGAGGAGGAGGAGGAGAAGGAGGAGGAGGAGCAGGAGCAAGGGGAGGGGACATAGGAGGAGGAGGCTGAGGAGGACAATGAGGCAGAGGACGAGGATGAGGAAAAGCAGGGGGATGTCGTTCACAACAACCAACTGCGACCACACCATCGTCCACAGTGGGAATATTCCAGCGAGAAGGAGAAGGACCGCCACTGCAACGTCAACCACCAAAACGTGGAGCTACAAGGCTACAGGACATACCCATGTTTTTGGAGAGCCAGCAAGGATGGCAAGACCATACACGTATAGAGGAACACGGAAGCGAACATACGCGGCCCAGAAACGAGCGGGGTACAACGTCTGGCACGGGATACAGCCTCGACCCCACAACATCATTAGCATTTCTAACAACCGCCGTCGCAAGAGCGTCCAAACACGAGCTGCGAAACAGGCAACCCCAGTGCGAGAACGAGCTGCGTAACAGGAAACCCGAGTATGAAAATAGCTGCATAACAGGCAGCCCAACCATTGCGGCACCAAGCACGCCACCAAGACCGACACCAGGAACGACGCGACCGACCAGCCCGAAGGAGTTACTCAGAACGTTGTCGTGGAGATACCAGTATACATCAGCGGCGCCATCTACGCCGAGCGCGACTACGGCCGCACCGCTTACTTCGAGTACGACGGCAGCTTTTTCGATAGCGACGCGCGCTCCTACGATCCCCAGGGCGCATTCCGACTTCCAGAGCGTGGACCATTACGACTTGTCAGCCGACGGCGCCGACTCGGACCTCGGGGACCCTCTGAGCCAATACAACCACCAGCAGAGCTACCAGGGCCTGCAGACATGGACCACGCTCTGAATTGCGAGGACCGCCCGCACAGCTACGAGAGCCACCAGAAGAGCTTCAATCACCACCTGCCGAAAAACGAGAGCCACCTACAGAGCCACGAGAGCCACTAGCTGAGTAGCGAGGACCGCGAGCTGACCTACGTGAGCCACAGACAGGCCTACGAGGGCCACCAGCTGAGCCAGGAGGACCACCAACTCAAATGCGAGGGCGACAAGCAGAGCTACGTGGACTACCAGGTGTGCTACCGGAGTCACCAGCTCAGCTTCGAGAGCGGCAAGCAGAGCTTCGAGAGCCATCGGTACAGTCACGAGGTCCACCTGGAACGCTACGAGGGTCACTGCATAAGCTTGAGGGCAACGAGCAGGGCGACCACAAGCACAGCTAGTACAGCCGCCAGAAGAGTCACCAGGGCCCCCAGCGTACCTTCGAGGGCCGTTAGCTGAGCTGCGAGGCCCGGAGGCACAGCTACGAGAGCCACCGGCGCAGCCACAAGGACCGCGAGCTGAGCCATGAGGACCACGGGAGCAGCTACGAGAGCTACGAGGGCCACCTGCTGATCTACACAGGCCACAGCCAGCGCCACGTGGATTACAGGAAGAACTATCAGAGCCCCTTGCAGAGCGACTAGGGCGACGAGCCGAAGGGCAAGGCCGAGAAGCAGAACTACGAGGGCCACAATGTGATTTACGCGGGTCACGAAGCAAACGACGAGAGTCTCCTGCAGAGGTGCCAGGGTGGCGAGTTGAACTGCCAAGGCCGACGAGGGCAATCACCCGAGTTACGAGAAGCACTGGCAGAACTAGCCACACTACGAGAACAAGCCAAAGTACCTGAACACGCGGGAGTACGACAAAGGATGCCAGCCCGAGTAATCGGGCGTAAAGGCCAGGGGTGCCACAATGGCCTCGAGTGTACTTACTCTCTGGGTGCGTGGGATTGTACCGCAGAGCGCTGGGCAGTCAGGTCGAGACCGATGGCCATCAGCGTTACATGTACCCACGTCGACCCCATCGACAAGTACTCCGAGAAGCGGCTCGCTGCCATGTGCCAAGAAAAGGCTCGAGCCTACGGTTTTCACGGTCCGATCAAAAATTGCTGCGAAATCCTCATCGACAAAAACTTGCTAGACGCGGTCCACGACCAGGTGGCGCAATAGCACGGCGAGACCAGCCCACCAAGAGCCGTCGATTACGGCACTCCAGCGCACTATCTTCCATGGTGCCGACTGTGCTTGCTCTACAGCGCCACGGATGCGGCATCGCGTGCACGCGCCACATCTACAGCGCTGCGGACAAGGCATTACGCGCGCAGTTTCCGCCAAGGTGCTACGGATACGGCTAGAAGTTTTGCGACATCCCTCGAGTGGCCCCGCCGCTCATCCCACCCCCTGTCTTCGAAGGCCGATTCTGGATCGTATAGAGGACGGGCAGCAGGTGGCCTCGCCCCCCCCCCCCCCCTTCTCTTCGGCAAGGGTCCGGCGGTGCGCTATGGGGGCCCCCGCGCTCGCGCTGGTCGGCCGCCCGCCTCGCCGGGGGGCCACGAGCGCGCGAGCGCGGATCGGGGGCGGCCGATGCCGCTGCCCAAGTAAGTAAAGAAGATGGGAGCAGGATACAGGAACGGGACAATTTCAAGAACGAGGAGATCCACGGGGAACGGCGCATCAACATGCATACCATAGACCATTTGTCAAGCAGGCTGGGCGCGAGCAGGGAGGGTCGCGGCGAAGCGCGCGACCGCGCAGCACTCAAGATAATTATCCTGGCGAAGGACCCAAACATATGAAGTCGTGGGTACCGCAATTGTGAATATCTTCTTCGGTGAAGCTCCCCATGGGGCCACGGAGCGCTGCGCTGGGCGGGGGGGGGGACGCGCGCGGGCGGTAGCACTGGGGCCGTCGGTGAAGCTCCCTATGAGACCACGAAACGCTGCACTGGGTGGGTGAAAATACCAAACCTGGCGTGTGGGGCGCATGCGGGCGGCCCCATTGGGGGCTTCGGTGGAGCCCCCCATGGGGCCGCGAAGCGATGTAAAGGGTTGGCGAATCTGCCAACTTGGGTGTGGGGGGCGCATGCGGGCGGCCCCACTGGGGGCTTCGGTGGAGCCCCCTATGGGGCCACGAAGCGCTGCGCTGGGTCTGCGAAGATGCCAAATTGGGTGTGGGTGACGCATGCGGGCGGTCCCACTGGAGGCTCCAGTGGAGATCCCTGTGGGTGGCGCGTGCGGGCGGTCCCACTGGGGGCTTCGGTGGAGCTCCCTATGGGGGCGCGAAGCGCTGCACTGGGCGGGTGGAAATGCCAAACGGGGCATATTGGACGCACGCGGGCGGTCCCAGTGGGGGCTTCGGTGGAGCTCCCTATGGGGCCCCGGGGCGCTGTATTGGGTGGGCGACAATACCAAATTAGGTGTGCGAGGGACGCACGCGGACGGTTCCATTGGGGGCTTCGGTGCGGCTCCCTATGGGGCCACGAAGCGTTGTACTGGGTGGGTGACAATGCCAAGTTGGGTGTGGGTGGCGCATGCGGGCGGTCCCACTTGGGGCTTCGGTGGGGCTCGGCCACGCAGCGCTGTGCTGGGAGGGTGGCAATGCCAACTTGGGCGTTGGGGACGCATGTGGGCGGTACCATTGGGGGCTTCGGTGGAGCTCCCTATGGGGTCACGGAGCGCTGTACTGGGTGCGTGGAAATGCCAGATTGGGCGTGGGGGACGCATGCGGGCGGTCCCACTGGAGGCTTCGGTGGAGCTCCCTATGGGACCACGAAACGTTGTACTGGGTGGGTGACAATGCCAAATTGGGTGTGGGGGACGCATGCGGGCGGTCCCACTGGAGGCTTCGGTGGGGCTCCCTATGGGACCACGAAACGTTGTACTGGGTGGGTGACAATGCCAAATTGGGTGTGGGGGACGCATGCGGGCGGTCCCACTGGGGGCTTCGGTGGGGCTCCCATACGGGGCCACTAAACGCAGTACTGGTTGGGTGAAAATGCCAAATTGGATGTGGGGGGCGCAAGGCGGTACCTTTGGGGGCTTCGGTGGAGCTCCCTATGGGGTCACGAAGCGCTGTACTGGGTGGGTGAAAATGCCAAATTAGATGGGGAACGCATGTGGACGGTCCCACTGGGGGCTTCGGTGGAGCTCCCTATGGGGCCACGAAGCGTTGTACTGGGTTGGTGAAAATGCCAAAATGGGTGTGGGGGACGCATGCGGGCGGTCCCACTGGGAGTTTCGGTGGAACTCCCCATGGGGCCACGAAACGCTGTGCTGGGTGGGTGAAGCGCATGGAAAAAAGGAGGGGGGAGGGGAGGAGGAGGAGGAGGAGGAGGAGGAGCAGGAGGAGGAGGAGGAGGAGGAGGAGGAAAAGGAAAAGGAAAAGGAGGAGGAGGAGGAGGAGGAGAAGAGGAGAGGAACGCGGGGACCGTCTCTTCAGAACGAGGACCCAACACCACAGGATGGTTGGGAATGACGTCGTTCCAGGTAGTACCGTTGATCTGGGATTCTCGTAGATGTCCTGGCCGCGGAAACTACAGCAGACCCACGACTTCCAGAACCGTCTCCCGAGCTTCTACCGAACAGCCCCCGAACTTGACGCGAAGTAAAAATTGTTCACGCTTCGCGGATCCCCACCAGCCATTTCAACGTCCCTGTTCATGAGAGCCGACGGGAAAACGGGCGAACATACACATATAGTGGAACAGAGCAGGCCACCAGGAGCAAAGGGGTGGCCCTGGAGGGCGTTTTCGGGCTATCCAATGCGCCCGCGGGGAGGCGAGGGAAGGAGGAGGATGATGATGAGGAGGAGGAGGAGGGCGAGGAGGAGGAGGAGGACAAGGAGGAGGGGGACGAACAAAAAAATAAGGAGGAGGAAGAGGAGGAGGAGGAAGAAAAGGAGGAGGAGGCACGCCACCTCTCGGGGCCTTCGTGGGACGCTCTTGGGGCGCGTTTGGGCGTGTTTTGGGCAGTGCATTGTTGGCACCCTCTTAAGGCCCTCGCGTGGTCCCCTTGGGCCCCGGAAGGCCTTAGGAGGGTGCCCGATTTGTGATCAATCAAAGGAAAGGAGGCCCCGATTTGCCTCCCATCCCCCTTCTGGGGTCATCAAAATCACATTGAAGGGCGTTTTCGGGGCGCTCTTCGGCAGATTATGGGCGCTCTTGGGGCCGAGCTGGGGGTGGGCCCTTTCGGGGCAACTTCGAGGCTTCCAAATCGCATCGGAAAGCGAAAAGGCGAGAAGGCACAAATGATTGTTTTTCCTGTTTGGTTTTGAAAGATGTTGGCCTCGTGGGGGTCCTGGCGGGGCTCCGAGAACACTTGGAACCGTCGTGTGGCCTTCGTCGGGCTCCTTGGAGGTATGTCGGAAGCTATGTTGAACCATCTTCGGCCATTTTGAGCAGCCTTGGGAGGCAATCTCGGAGCATCGGAGGCAATCTTGGAGCCACCCTGGGCGAACGGACCCTCTTTGCCACCCCGCGAAGCCACCACAGAAACCAGGGAGGGGAAGGGGAGGGTATCCCTCCCCGAAGGGAAGAGTTGCCTCCTCCTCCTCCTCGTCCTCCTCCTTCCCCCTGGACTGGTGTTGCATCCCGGGACAGCTCTTGACGGCCCCGAGGGCCGGCGAGGGCCCCCATCCCCCCCCGAAGGGAAGAGAGGCTTGGGAAAAGGGCGGAAAGAGCTCGTTAGACCACCTACGCCCGGAGGGCCAGTGGCACCCGCCAGCGTGGCCATCAGGAGAGGACCGCTATCCGATATTGAGCATTTGCGGTCGTTCGACCCCAGAGCCCCCAATCGCACAAATATCACGGCGGCGACAGTCTTGCGCAATTATCAGCCTCCCAGGGCCCTGCCAATCCCTGGGACCGTCACGCGATGACCCGCAGAAGAATCGCGACCACAAGGGCGCCGACATTGTGAAACAGACGCCGCGTCGTGATTCTGTGGGCGGGCTCCGAGGACCGAAGCTCAAGGAATCTTGACTTCAGATGTTCCTGGCACTTCTTTGACCTTCCTAGAGCCTCAGGGGTGGACCTCCGGCGACAGGACTCGAGAAGAGGGAGAGGAGAACGCGACGTTCCACATAGCGCAGTGCGTCCAATTAGTTTCTGCCCCCGTGGGTGGCGTCAAATGGCACCAGTGCATGTGATTCCGTAGCCATTCCGCCTCGAGCCGCTCAACTCAAGCCAGCAGTGCCCACAGCTCGCTGTCGGCGTCTCGTTGTTTTGGCTCGCTCCCAATACTTCAAAGCCATGTGCGAAAACGTCATGGAGCATGCCGAAATGAAACGTATTCCGTTCTCTGCGATGTTCGACTTTATGGTTTTGCAAGGAGGAGTCTTCGACGCGATCAAGACGGACATCATCGATCCGATCAAATCAAGCTGTTGCGGCATCGATGGCCCAAACGTTACCCAGGAGGCTGTCGATGTGGATGTCTACACTCCAGATGGCGAGAAGACGAAGCTGCTGAGCATGGCCAAGGCAGGTCGGCCCCTGGTGCTCTTCTTTGCAGGGTGCGTCACCTGACCCATCGCCCGGGCGGCGATGCCCTTGCTGGAAAAGTTACGGACTGAGCATCCGCACGTTGATTGTTTGTACGTAGGTATCCGCGAGGTGCACCCACAGGAGAGGAACACCGCTACGGGAACTCTCGGCAAGTTCAACGGAAGAGATGGAGTTGACGGCCCCGACGGTCTGTGGAACATCCCCCAGCCGAAGTCCATCGAGGAGCGTCTCGAAAGGATGCAGTGGTGGTATAGGGAGTACTCCAAGGTGTGCGAAGACCGCAACGAGCCCAAGATGGAAGTCCCATGGGTGCTGGACACCATGGAGGACGATGTCGACAAGGCCTACAACGTGTACCCCTTCAGAATCTACGTCGTGCAGGACGGTATCGTCTTGTATCGGGGAGGGCATGGGCCCTTCGCCCAGTCGATCGCCAAGGTTCAGAGCGTCATAGCCACCAACGCTTAGGGGGGCGCTCCCCGGGGTCCCCCCTGGGCGAGACCAGATGGGAGCGCGCCGAGGTGCGCTGCTTCCCGCGCGATCCCATCGTCGGAAGAAGTAAACCAGGGGGAGTGCGAGGGGGACGGCTGCCCATCAAATCACCCTGGCGAAGAACCCAATCCATTGTAAACGAGTGTCGCGCATTCATAGGATTGCTGAATGCACATGAACATACTGAGGGTGGAGCTGCATGCGAACCCAGCCATTGGGGCCTTCGGTGAAGCCCCCATACGGGGCCAAGAGACGTGTGAGGGGTGCGCCGAAACGAGGGTGGCACTGCATGCGATCCCTGCCATTGAGGCCCTCGGTGGAGCAAATGGACCCGGGTACGCATGCGAGCGTTGCCACTGGGGCTTTCGGAGGAGCTCCCTATGGAGCCACGAGACGTGTGAGGGGTGTGCCGAAATGGACTCGGGTACGCATGCGAACCCTGCCACCGGAGCCGTCGGTGGAGCTCCACATGAGGCCACGAAGCGTGTGAGGGGTGTGCCGAAATGGACCCGGGTACGCATGCGAACCCTGCCATTGGAGCCTCCGGTGGACCTCCCCACGGGGCCATGAGATTTGTGAGGAATGTGTGCCGAAATGGACCCCGATGCGCATGCGAACCTTGCCCCTACAGTTTTCGGTGGAGCTCCCTATGGGGCCACGAGATTTGTGAGGGGTGTACCGAAAAGGACCTGGGTACTAATGCGAACCCTGCCACTGGAGCCTTCGGTGGAGCTCCCTATGGTGCCACGAAACGCGTGAGAGGTGTGCCGATATGGACCCAGGTACGCATGCGAACCCTGCCCCTGGAGCATTCGGCGGAGCTCCCTATGGGGCCACGCAACGTGTGAGTGATGTGCCGAGATGGACTTGGGTGCGCATGCGAACCTTGCCACGCGGGCCTTCGGTGGATCTCCCAATGGGGCCGCGAAGATGACGACAATGATGATGCTGACGATGATGATAATAATGATGATGGTAATGGTAATGATGATGATGATGATGATGATGATGATGATGATGATGATGATGATGATGATGATGATGATGATGATGGTACTGGTGATTGTGATGATGACGATGCTGATGATGATGGTGATGATGATGATGACGATGATGATGATGATGATGATGATGATGATGATGATGATGATGATGATGATGATGATGATGATGATGATGATGATGGTGGTGGTGGTGGTGGTAGTGATGGCGATGATGATGGTGGTGGTGGTAACGGTGATGATTAGAAACTGCGAGGATGATGATGATGATGATGATGATGATGATGATGATGATGATGATGGTGATGGTGGCGGTGGTGGTGATGGTGACGATTCTGGCCAGGATGAGGAGGAAGAGGAGAGGAGGAAGGAGGAAATGGAGGAGGGGAGGAGGAGGGGAGGAGGAGAGGAGAGGAGAGACGCGCGGCGCTGCGAATTCAAAACCAGGACCCAACACACAGGATGGTCGGGAAAAATTATCAGAATTGGGGACTGAGGCTTATGGGGTTAGGCAAAGGACCTGAGGACAGTCAATCTCGCGCAAGAGGGGACGGTCGCGGGTAGCATCGTCTGGTCCCACGGTTTTAGCAATGCATGACGAGTGCAGAAGAGGAAGTTCACCTTCAGCTGTTGCCCCGAAGAATGGCCCAATGGCCGAAGCGAGCCAGTGGCCTGACGGCGCGGCGCCACCGCGGACCCAGCACCTTCAGCCATGGATGACGACAGCAGGCGTGGAAGTTTCGCCCCCGCTAATTGCTCTGACGAACGGCTGAAGCGAGCCCTTGGCCAGACGGTCCGGCACGCTGCTTTCCTGTTAATTCGGAGTTGTCAGCCACAGTGCGAGGATCATCATAGCAATTTTGCTATGTAGCGCTGGCGCCGATTTCGTTTTTTTTTTTGTTTTAAATTTTTTTCGTGTCGCCACCATTCGTCACGGATCAAGAATTCCGAGACGGGTCCCGCAATTGCCCACTACCCATTTCTTCCATCTGTCCTTCCCTTTTCATGCCTGCTATATGGTCAGCGCGTACTGGTGCTCCTGGGGTGGGTCCCCTGGGGCGCCAGGGCACGCGTTGTGAGTATGGCACGGTGGTTCCCCCGTTCACCAAAAATGGTACCAGCTTATGTGATGCAATGTACGTGGTGCAAGCTATGTGGCTAAAGTCATGTGGTGCAAGCTGTGTGGCGAAGGCTTCGTGATGCCAACAAGCTTGACTGCATCCGAGCGTGGCCACTTCCAAGATTCGCGCGAACCCTGCCCACCTACCCGCAGTTTGGCGAAGCGCAGCGGGGCTGCGACAGCGACGATGACGACGCTCATGGCTGCGGTGGGGAAAATGTCGACGACGGCCATGGTGATGGTGCCGAAACTGGCGTTGACGAGAATGACAGTGACAACGGTGACGCTGGCGATGGTGACAATGGTGCTAGTGAGGGTGATGAGGTAGTGAGCGCGCGCCGAAATTCCATGAGGGCGGCAACATTGACGATGACGATGATGACGGCGGTGGTAAGGTCGGCGGCCAGGATGAAGACTTTGATGCTGACGATGGTGATGCTGATGCTGATGATGATGATGATGATGATGATGATGATGATGCTGGTGATGATGATGACGATGGTGATGGATGTGATGGCGACGATGGTGGTGATGATGATGATGCTGGTGATGATGATGACGATGAGAATAATGACAATGATGACGCGGGTGATGATCATAACGATTGTGCATATGTGAACGATGAGGAAGGGCGCGTCCCCAGGACATCCGATATTCTTGGATCGCCACTTGGTTGTCGTATGTGTGATAACGCATATGTTCTGAAATGCTTTGGGCGACGATGGTTTTGGAAGGCCTGCGACGTGCGCACGCGGAGACAATTGCTTGTGGCCTGCATCGTACTAGCTGTCAGGATATTCGGGCGCACGGTGGTTGTGACATCTTTTCGACGGGCGCCCGCACGCATGGCCCGCATGGTCTCCTCTGACAGAGCGGCAATCACTGTGCGGTGCTCGTGCGCTGATAAAACAATGATCCGTTGCAGAGACTCGCAAGAAGGTGCGATGTGAGGCACATGCGCGCGCCGTCGCGTGAATATGCGGAGGGGAATTCTGAGACACGTCTCGTTTTTTGTTGTTGGGGGGGGGCTCCCGTGGCCCCCTTAGGGGACCTCCCTTGGGGCTTTTGGGGGCCCGTTGGTGAATCGGGGGGCGCCTCGAATGGAGGGTTGCACAGCAGGACCATGACAAGGTGCAAACCAGGAAGCTGGATACACACGACGACGGGGCCGGCCTGGACAAGAGTTGGATACACATGTGGCCATGTGTCTTTCCATCACTCGGCCCTCCGATGGCCAGGTACACCAGACTTCTGCATGTGTATCTAGCAAGTGGCTTCCCGATGTTCCACACGTGGATTCAGCGACGTGTGCTCTCATCTTCCTGGTACATGGATCCCCTTGGACAGCGCAACCTCTTGCCGACGCTAAAACGAAACTTGCCTTCGCAAGGGCACCCTGCGGGAGGACGGGGGCAGCTATCGCTTCGCGAGTGGCAGCGCGCTGCAGAGAAGCACTCGGGGGCGGGGGCGCGTTCACCGCTGCAACGCTCGGTGACCCGCAGCCCGCAGCCCGCTCGGTGGCCATATGGGCTCAGGACCGAAGCGCTACTGTCCGGGGGACCTGCCTGGCGCGGCTCCCGTCTTCGCCCAGCGTGCATTGCACCTACCACAAATCCGTCACCATGACCCTTTCCAGCAAGATTGTCCACCTCACCATGCCCCTCTGCGTCGATGGCGAGTGCTCCCCTGCCAGCCACGCAGCACGTGCAGCGCGAGCGCGGGCAGCAACTGCAGCGGCAGCTGCAGCAGCAGCAGCAGCGGCGGCAGCAGCAGCATGATGACCAACGAGCTCCTCGCCCAGGAAGACATCCAGGCGGGGGCTTTCCTCACACGTTTGCCACCGCATGCTTGTTCTGTTAGCCTTGCCTCCCTCTCTCCCGTCGCAGGAAGGCATCTGGGTGAGGGCCTTCCCTCCATATTTTGGCATCGCTCGCTCCCCTCCCCATCACTGCTCTCCCCTCCTCTCTGGCGTTGGTAGGATATTCCGTCTGCGACCTCACTCGCTCAGAGGCTCACGGCAGTTCAAGCGTTCTTAATTATTATGATTTTCCTTCTCCCCCTCGTCATCCACCCATTGTTCCTTCAGCGGCTTGTCAATGCATCTGGGCTGGGCATAGCGCTCTCTCTCTCTCTGTCTCTCCCTCTCTCTCTCTCTCTGTTTTCCAGTCGCGGCAACACGCCCCTTATGAGAGTTTAATGGGGGTCCATGGGATTTGCTCAGTTTGCTGTGGGTTCTGCAGAGCTTCGTTCGTACTCGGTGAGTCGCTACTGCGCATCGCTTACATGCACCATGCACAGCCCGATCCCGCCTTCTGTTGACAGCACCGGACGTGGGCGTTCCCATCCCTTCCTTCCCCTCCCTCCCTGTCTTCGCGACCCCGTCAGCCCATGTCTTTCTCTCCCTCGCCTACTCCTCTCTCGCTCTCCCCTCGCCCGCACGGGGCCGTTTCCTCCCCCTGCTCCTGCTGCTCGTTCCAATTGTATCCCTGCCCCCCTCTCGCCAACGTCGCAGCAGCAGCACGTCTTCGCCCCAGACCTCCGGCGCTCCCGCTCTCGTCGAAGCGTGGGCCCCCCCGACCTCCCACGACCCGGACGCCCCCGGAGCGCTGCAGGGCGCGAGAGTGTGCAAGCCCGCCTGGTCTGGCAGTGGCTCAGGGGGGCTCGTGCTCAGGGGAGGCTGCGGCACCGCTCCACGATGTGCCTCGGCATCGTTGATCCGGCCCCCATCCCCACCCCCCATCCCCTTCGAGACCCCCACCAGATTACCACCCCAGTTGGGGATGCGCCCCTCGAAACCCGAAGGGAACGGCCTATATCCCCATCCAGGGGGGTAAGTCGGCCAGTGGGGCCCAGGCCACGCCGCTGGGGAGGGGGATCGGTTAAACGACACTCTGATCCTGCAGGGCGGGCCCTTCCTCGTTCCCGGCGCCCCGTGCACCGAGGCGCCTGCGCCGTTCGTGGCCCTTGTGCGGTGCTTGCCCGGCCGTGCCCTCGCAGGCCTAGAGGCTGACACACACACACACACACACACACACACACACACACACACACACGCACACACACACACACACACACCCAAGTTCGGCGGTACGCATCCACCGAGGGAAGAAGATCCCGATCTCGGTGACGGAGGTCATATTCTAGCTTCAAGGTGACCGACATAGTACCACCAAGACTGAAATCTAGGGTCATCTTGCTCCTGAAGAGGCAACCCCCTGTGTTGGTGTTGGTGCCCATTCCCAGGCCTCCTACTGCCCGCGACCCCTTCCCCTAGGAGGGCATTTCCATCCGAGGTCTCCTTCGGAGGACCTCCCGGCCCGAAAAAAATTGGCCTCTGGAGGCCAGCCTTACGTCGGGCACGTCCCTCTACAGGAGGCAAATTCAAAGATAGTCGAACAATAGTCTGGGGACGATTTATCCCCAACACCGCCTGTAGGAGGACATGCCCGACCTAAGGCCAGCCGTGACCACGGGCCGGCCGCTCCTCGCGTTCGGTAATGGGGGGGCGATAAATGGGGGGGCGTCGAGGGTTGCGCGGAAGGGGCCCCAAAGTGGCCCTGGACGAGCCCCCCATGGAGCCCCGAAGGGGTACGAAAGGTGCACGACAGGGGCCCCTCTCTGACCCCCCCCATCTAACGGCTACATGTAAGAGTGACCTTTCGCCGGAGTGACCTTTGGTGCGGGCACAATGGGGTCCCCCGATCACCGATTGCGATGCGATAGTAGCGTCTTGCGCGCCTGAGTTTGGTCCCCCCGCGGCCCCCCAAAGGCCGCGCACCAAAGGTCACTCCTACCCAGGGTCACTCTGGCGTGTAGCCGAATCTATCGCCCCCCCCATTCGTGGACGCCCGCTGCTCGAGACGAGGCCCCCGAGGGGCGTCGGCTCGGGCCCGCGGCCGGGCGCGGAGCCCGCGGCGGGGGCGCCGCCCTCCTCGACGAGCGTCGCCGTCGTCCGTCGCCCGTTGGTCACAGGAGGGAGAAAACACACAGGCACAAGCAATCGTCGATTCCCGGAAAAATGGGAAAATAGAAAAATAGGAAAAACACAGGCACAAGTAATCGTCGATTCCCAGGAAAATGGAAAAGTATAGGGGGAAGGGGGGGGGGGGGGAAGACGAAAGCCCCGAAAATATGTGAAACGATTGGGGAATCCTGGGATTTGTGTGTATTGACTCGTGCGTTCCTGGGCCCCCTCAGTTGGTCAAGCAGTGGCGAAGCGTGCTGGCTCGCCTAACAGGGCCACCAAAGAATTTTCTGTGAATCTTGTGGTCTGCACGAAATGTTCGTAGAACACTTCTGGCTGGGACTGTCTTTTTTGAACCCATCGGGCTTATGCTCTAAGAACAGTGTTGTCCTCCTCCTCCTCCTCCTCCTCCTCCTCCTCCTCCTCCTCCTCCTCCTCCTCCTCCTCCTCCTCCTCCTCCTCCTCCTCCTCCTCCTCCTCCTCCTCTCCCTCTCCAAAGGAGAAGCGATGCGATACCCACACTGCCAGGGGGCCCACCTCCAGCGAGGAGGCCCACGATGCCTCCCCGAGCCAGAGGTCGGGGACGCCTCGAGCGAGAAGGGGGGGGGGGGGACAACACCGCCAGGGAGACGCCCCTTGCCTCCTCGCGCCTCCTCGCAAGGGTGGTGCTGGTGTCGCCGCCCTCCTCCCAGGAATGTACAGGCAGGACAGGCAGGGCAGGCGCCGATGTGCGCCCCAGGGGGCGGCCCTCTAAGAGCTCGGCGGGGGCGCCGGAACGCCGAAGCTCAGACGTCGTAGTACATGGTTGCTTTACGATCTCGAGTGTGTACTATTGGCTCCAATGGTACAATCCTTCCCATGAGTTTGAGCACGCAGCGTCTCAGGAAGGGGAAAAGCATACACAAATGCAACTGATCGTCGGCCCCCAGGAAAACATTGGAAAAAACGAAAAAATCAGGACACGTGGGGAATCCTGGGATCTGTGTCTGTCTACCTGTGTGCCCCTGGGCCCCTTCATCCTCGAGCG